CACCAAACCTTAATGGCTTGGAGAGGATCTGCCAAGAGGAGTGGGCAAAAACCCCTCCTGAGATGTGTGCAAACCTGGTGGCCAACTACAGGAAACGTCTGACCTCTGTGATTGCCAACAAGAGATTTGCCATCAAGTACTAAATCATGTTTTGTGAAGGGGATCAAATACGTATTTCCCTCATGAACATGCAAATCAGTGCATAATTTGTTAGACATGCATTTCTTTTGAATTTTTTTTTTGCTGCTATTCTGTCTCTGAGTGGGCAAACATTCGAAATCAGCAGGGGATCAAATACTTATTTTCTTCACTGTATATACCTTGGTTTGTGGACTCTATAACTTTCCTACAAGCTAAATAATATACACTAATTGGGGTATGTTCACCAAAGAAATGTAGCAGAATACATTTTGACTTAAATTTATGAAGAAATGTTGTTTATTTGCAAAATTTTATAACAGAAACAAAGAAAAATGATTTTTTATTCAAAAGTTTCAGGTATTTTTTGTTTTTTTTTAGCAAAAAATAAAAAGCTCAGTGTTGATTAAATACCACCAAAAGTAAGCTTTATTTGTGTGAAAAAAATTGATAAAAGTTTCATATGGGTACAGTGTTGCAGCTGAAAGCTGAAAATGGGCCTGAGCAGGAAGGGAGTAAAAGTGCCTGGTATTGAAGTGGTTAATATTTGTCAGCAGACAGTAAAAAGACAGGACAAAAAGGTAGCAATAGAATTACCTCAAATCTTCCATCATCACTTTTCGTAAATACAATCCCAATTGGTGAAGCAATTTTCAAGTTGCCATTAATGTGCTGAATTGTAACTACTGGTCTGCTATATGGTAATGTTATCCTAAGTATGGAAAAATGTTGTTAGTAAACATATTTAAAAAAACTTTGTCATATTGAAAATAACAGCATAGGTATGCAGGACCAGTTCCCTCTGTGTTTGGACAAAGGATGAAGGGCTCCTGGATAGCTATTTTGAGTGGTGGAAGCTGGTTTTCCAGTTTTCTCTAGACATGTAAGGTTTGTTTCGTTCTGAAACTGAAATTTGGATGAAATTTGCCTTATTCGGAAATTTGGATGTGTCTGAATTTCTGAATATAACAGTAATGGATTTCAATGAATCAGAATTAAACATTAACAAAATTCATTTTTGTTAGAAGCATCAGAATGAAATGAATGATTTGAATTTATTTGATGATAACTGGTTGTTAAGGAGTAGGACAGCCTACCGGCCGCAGCATCCTTGACAACCGTGATTCATCCGCTGTCAGGTGGGGCCCTCCCTCCCCAAAGCACCCCACCCCCCCATGTTGGGGGGCATATGGCCTGGTATGATTAAGGAGGGGGGGCGCATGCTCACCCCCCCCCATTTCCTGACTGCATACTTGGATAAGGGTCTGGTATGGATGTTGGGGGGGACCCCACACCGTTTCTCTCTAAAAATTTTGGCATGGGGTTCCCCTTAAAATCCATACTAGACTTGCTGTTAAAAAAAAAAAAAGTTTAATACCTGGAATTGTTTGTTTACATTCTGCTGTCAGTGGTCATGATTTTTAAGGACGCCGCAGATAGAAGGATGGTCCGCTCCTTAATAACCAGCTATTCTTCACAATGAGTTTGAATAAACTTGATATTTTTATATATAAAATTCAATTCAAATACTTAGAATCCACTGGAAAAATGTTAAGTCCGGTAGAAAATAAATAAACGAAATGAAACAAATTTAGTTACAAATGCAACACAACAAAATGAGTAACCAAATGAAACTATTTTTTCTGTTCTGCACATGTCTAGTTTTCTCCAGGATTGGTAACTCCTGAATTGGGTTCTGGAGTCTAAAGGCTTCAAAGAGTCTTTGAAGGGATGAAGCAGCCAACCCTGTGCCCATGTCTTATTGGAGCAGCCTGATGGTTCAGGTGTGCACAGTGTTTTTTTAATCAAGGGGATGGTTGTGATTCAGAGCTCCTTCCTCTGGAAGGCAGAATGCTTCAGGATCAGCATGTGCATAAAGACACTAGGAGGGTGTTTAGCATGGCCTCCAGGAGAGATGGCCAGATATCTTACCAGACTGTGACCTGAAAGTAATATTAATGGGCTGTGTAACTGTGCAGGAGCCTGTGCAGTCCAAGGTGGATAGAGTTATAATAGACAGAAAGTCTGAAAAATGTATGTTCTCTTGTGGTGAGGCTGAAAACCTCAGTGAGGGAGTCCATGTGAGTTAGTTCTTTTACACTTTTTTTTTTTTTTTTAAAGTGTCAAAAGCTCAAAAACTGCACTTCCCTGATTGGTGTTAAGCTGACCATAAGCTCTGTGTTTGAATGACTCACAGGCAGTATGAACACTTTTCGTACTGAATACATTTGCAGCTGACATCAATGATTTGGCGTGATGCAGGTTCAAAAGATGGCCACCTATGTTACACGTGTTACAATCTGATTTCAACACCTCTAGATTTACTAAGGACTAAGCAGTGTGAAGCTGGATATGAATTATATGGATTGTTTAGGTAAGCCTTTTATTCTACATTAGCCTGTCTCAACACAGATGCTACAATAATGAGGCTCTGAATCACAGGGTGTCTAAACATATCCAGGTAACCCCATGTGCTTGCACAGATGCACCACAGGTCTCTGTTGGGTCTTGAAGGCTGAGCAGAGCCCACTGGAACCTCAGCTTGCGCGCTGGTTTTTTAAAGATGGCAGCATCAGAGAGGGGTCCAGGTTAACATTACAGCGGACTTAAAATAATACATGCAGTTATTTGCATTTATAATTGTTTTATAAATGCATGCAAAGACATATAATTGCATGTATGTCACTGCTAGTGTGAATGGGGCCTTTAACGTGAACATTTTTTTTAGTAAAATCTGTTAGTATTTTTACCTTCTGACATTTGCCCGCTGGAAATTTTTGTTTCCTTTCGGATGCATTCATTCATTGAAGAATTTTTTTTCATCATATTCGTTGTGTTGAATAGATTAATTTTCAAGATTTATTACGTATATTCGTTGGTCCAGGTGGATTAAAAAAATTTGCAATTTTTTTGGAAGATATACATTATATATCTATATATTTATTTTTATATTATATATATATATTTGTTTTCAAATTCAATATTTCTGGTGGATTCGTTATTTATGTATGGAAACTATTCAGAAGGATTCGATATTTTAGGATATAACCGAATAAATAATGCAAAACTCTGATTTTTTTAAACGTAAGAATTGCATTAGGCTTTGGAACTGCACTGACTGACTGACTGACTGTGACAATTACAAATTCAATTTAAATCACAAATTTACTTAAATCTGAATTATCAAACAAATTTGAAAAATTAACTTATTTCCCAGTGGACCCGAACTATTAGCGAATCATGTGACGTCATCTGAATGAAACAAATGCATTAGTTAATTTCATTATAACTTTTTTTGGATTTATTTTCTTTTATTACTATGTCCATTTGGTGATTCATATACATCTGAATCTCTGAAAATCAAATTTTCAGATGAAAATTGATTTGTTACGAAACAAAATGCATATGTTTAGTTAACACTAATCAGCCCTGCTTATTCATACTCTTATCCCTTAGCTGTTTTTTTTCTATTATTTTTTTTTCTTACCATCAATTTCATTGTAAATAATTTTGTTTGCTGATTTGCAATAATAACAATGAACAAAGCTATAAAAAGTGCCTTTATTTCATTTGCATATAACTACCAAACATGTACTTTTGGTATTATTAGATGAACGGAATAATTTAGAATACGATGGGCACTTTTTATCTGTATTGCCACTTCATTTTCTAAAGCTAACATCGATCATCTTTTTCATTTTGTTTTGTTTATAGATTGATAAAATAAAATAATCTCTGTGTGGCAATGCTGCTTTGTTTTTGTCCACCCCCAAAAATATGTATGACTTCTTGATTGTTATCAGTGAACAAATAGGCTTGTTCAGGTCCACAAGGGAAATATGTTTGAGAGCTGAAGTGGTTTAAAGATTCTTCAATCTGTATTATGCAGTATATGGTTTGCACAAGCAAATATATCAAAATGGACTATAAAATAACCTTTTTTTCATTGGAGTTCTATTTGCTATAAATCTTCCTTTTGCAAACAATTTTTTTTGTGTAAAATGTCATTGAAAGGACTGAAATCCAATGAATGACAAAGGGGTCAAAGGACATTCATACTATTGCATTTAAAGCACACCCATTAACCCCTGGTTCACATATGCGGTCGTGTGGGCTGCATTTTGCACGGGCACGAGAGCCCATTCACTTCTGCACTTCTGTCCCTGCACTTCTTTGGAAAACGTAGCCCGCACGGGAACTCTGGTTCCCAGTACGGTTGTGTTTTCCAGTGCGGGCAGCGTGCCATTAGAACTAATGGCATCCGCCCGTGGGTTCGCATTGCTCTGTGCGGGTGGTGCGGCTGCACAGATTTTCGTGGATCCGCAGCGGCACCACCCGCACAGGTGTGAACCTAGGGTAAAATGTGTTGTGTTAAGCCAGACAGTTCATGTTAATGGGTTGTCAACACCCTGTAATGCAGATAGAAATACACCTACACCTTTTTTTCTAATATATGCATTGTTATGTACCATAACAAAGGAACAATGTGATATACTGTATATTCAAAAGCAATATTAATATACACTAATAAAATGTGCTCTGAAGTGTTGCATAGTTAAACCTTGAGCTTTCAGGGCTGGGAGTAGAAATGAGAACGGCTGTCCTCCAAACTCAAATCTACCGGAACTCCAAACTCACGCTGTTTTTTATTCAAATGAGCTGCAAGCTGCTTAATTGCTGCCTTGCAGCTTGTAAAAACAAAGAGTTAGCTTGCAAGGTGGGTAAGACCTGGCCAGGAACTCACTGAAGTAAAAAAAGAGCTTGAATTTAGAGTTCAGGTAGAAATGAGTTAAGAGGACGGCCAAGTTCATCTCTAGCTAGAAGTTACTATTACCGTAAAAATCAGCCTCAAAATTCATATTAACAAATTATTCATGTACAATGCATAGGTGCAGGGGCGGATTGACCATTTGGAAAACTCGGGCACTGCCCGAGGGCCCCGGGTCAATAGGGGGCCCCATGAGATGCCCCTGGTACCTTTTTCATAGGCTTTTTTGAGTTTGGGCAAGGACACAGGGGCCCCATGATCCCCTATTGCCCGGGGGCCCCGTGAGTTGTCAGTCCGCCCCTGCATAGGTGCCAACACTTCATGTGATAAAATGTATAGTATCCTATCCAGAAACAATCATCTATTTTCACAAGTTCGAAGTTAATGTTCATGATTTAGAAGAGATTAAAAATGCACTGTACACTTAAGGCCTATTAACACCACTGCACTTTGGTAATGAACACGTTACATTATTATTATTATTTCAGGTACTTATATAGCGCCATCAATTTACGCAGCGCTTTACATACATATTGTACATTCACATCAGTCCCTAACCCTCAAGGGGTGTACATGTACAGTTACATGTGCAGTAACACGTATCCCAGCACACCTGTGTTGCAGTGCACCACAGTTCACTATAATGCAATACCATGGTTGGCAAAGCGCTGTGCTCAGCAAACTTGGTGCTGGAGCTATTTTGCTCTATTGATATGCTGCAGCAGCTATTTGCATAAATGAGCTGACATGACACAACGCGCATTAATGCACGCTCATTAAACAAAGCACAGTGGACTGCCTTAATGTGAACGGACACTTAATAGGGCTGATTTAAGAGTGCAAAATTTGGTGCAGCTCTGCCTAGAAACCAATCAGCTTTCAGGTTTTTTGTCAAAGCTTAATCAAACAAGCTGAAGTTAGAAGCTGATTGGCTATCGTGCACAGCCACACCCAGATTTTGCACTCTCCAGTTTTAGTAAATAAACTCCTTTGCACTTTCCATTATTTCCAGTTCTTCATATAAGCCTTCCATGAACTCTGTATCTAAGGTTTGATCTCATATTCTAAGTAGAACACACTTACGGTATTCCATCAACTGTCACATTGTCCTTGTTGAGTTCCAGTATGATTGTATTGATCCTTAAGCTTATTTTGGTGTATAAGACATTTTGGTTATTTACAAAGTGTCTGATTTGAATGGAATATGCTTCAGGGGGGTTCTTGCAATGATAAGCAAAGTTGTAAGTACAGTTTCCACACGAAAGGAGAATACCTCGCCAGTAAAAACCTTGTAGTGGAAGTCTTTCCAGTAACTGCAAGTCTTGCCATAATTTATGCCCGTTGCTGAGGAAGGGAGAATGAAGAATTAGTCAACATCACTATAAAAATGCAATTTGATTTAATGCTGGAAATGTAAAGTGTGTATAAATGAACAAAAAAAGTTATTTTGTATTACTTAGATAAGTATGAAATAGAGCGGGAGGTCGTGCATTTTACACCTAGGCCTTCAGTGATGTCCTACCTGAATGAATACAGTGTCACATGGCTGGCTGGGTGCTGATTTTGTTATGGCTGTACTGTGTCTGTAAAAGCAGTACAGCCATAAGTTAACAAAGTCAGCACCCAACAGCCATGTGACACCGTGACAGAGCCATAGAGCACTTGCTATGCTGTGATCATCATAATGATGATGATCAGAAACACACAGAAATTATGGGGACTTGCCTGTTCACCGATTTGTCCTGCTGCACCCTCTCAGCTGCCGGATATAAGCCTCTACCTAACGCTTTAGTGATGGTGTATGCTGAGGGAGCACAGCGGCTCTATACAGCAATCCGCCAGGGAAGGCATACAATAGGCAGTGACCTAGAACTAGAATTTGTGCAGGTGCACTGGTGCAGAGGAACGCGTGGGGCGGGATTATCTACCTGCGCCCAAAATTGGAAAAAAAAGTGATTTCACCTCAAAGACGTTGTGACCCTATTAAAGGAAGTAACTATTCAATGGTTTCTCATGGCAGGGCCAACATGTATTTATAAAATGTTCTGGAGGTGGGGCTGGGGGGAAATTGGGGGCTTATAAAAACAGATAGCCAGGTCTTTCTGGTATGTGCAGCCTAGATTGCATATGTGATTTTATAATAGACTAATTAATGCTATGGGGTTGATTTACCAAACCTGGAGGGTGCAAAATCTAGTGCAGCTCTGCATAGTAACCAATCTGCTTCCATTTTTTTTTTGTCAACGCTTAATTGAACAAACTGAAGTTAGAAGCTGATTGGCTACCATGTACAGCTGCACCAGATTTTGCACTCTCCAGTTTTAGTAAATCAACCCATATGTGTTGTATATAGACCAGAACTGCAGGAGCTCAAATCACACACTCAGTGTTAGAGAAGGGGCAACCTGCTGTGCCCTTTGTCTTTTCTAGCAGATACCTCCATGTACAGGAACAGTAAACTGTTGGTCAAGAATGATATTTAAATAAAATGCTATAGATGCACCCTGTATTAAATATTTGCCTGCAAAATATGATTGTATACACAAAACAAAAACACACTTATGTTTCCTAAAGATTCCACAAATGTTACATACAATTGGCCAAAAAAACGGTATATGTAGTTTAAAATGTTGTGCATTACTTAATCATAATGGTGGTGTAGCGCTACCCCTGAAGGACCCTTTTTGTATGTTTTCCTCGGGCTTCCCCTTGCTTCGCCCTGCAGCCAGGCATACAGGATATTTCTCCAGCTATATAAACACACACACACACACTTTTGCTCATTGTCTTCAATCACCAATCTAGGGGATGTTTTGTTTTTGGATTCTCTATTGTAGAATTGGGGCTATGGATGGGGAATTGTAGTAGGATACTCTAAAATCAGAACTATTCACAATAAGGACATCTAGCTGATCTCTTAGTTGAACACTTATGAAGTCTTAGCTGACAGTAGATAGCAGACTTTGCTTGCCCGATGTATTGCAGCAAGTAGTTTTAGGTGTGAGCAAAGTCCCTTTAGCAGAAGTAGTAGTAACAGGGTTGAGCTCCTCAGGTACAGGCCCATTACGGCAGACTGCAACAGTCTAGAAGTAGTAACAACTGAGCAAAGGCCTTTGCAGTAGCATCACTTGGACAAGCTCTTCAGAACACTAGACAGTGTTCCCTTCCTCAGACCCATGCTGACTATCAAAAGGGGTAGCAAAGGACACACAGTCCCCAAGATCTCTGTGTCTGTACTCACAAGTCCAAGGACAGAATGGTTGGCTCCTTCCAATCCTCCAAGTATCTCTCCAGTGATACTAGACAGATCTTTGGCAAACAGCTCCCCTAAGTCAGCTTACTGAAGAACCAGGGTCACTCTCTCTAAATTCAGGCCCTCAGGTAAACCCTCCACCGCATCATAGCAAATGCCAGGTGAGGCAGCCTGCCTCTAACCTGACTTGGTGCAATCCACTCCCGGGAAAGACACAGAACCCATGTGCTCTCAGAATATAAATACAACTCCCAGCATGCAATGGGACTATATTCCCTTGTGATTGACTAGGGCTGTATCCACATTCATGCTGGTCATTTGCCTAGCCCCTACCAATGTTCTGGAAGGCTCTCATAGCTTCCTGAAGGTGGACAAACTCCAACTGCACCAGAGCAGCACGAGAAGACCTAACTAATCAATCACAGCACTCTGGAAAGCAGAACACAAACACTGAATTTACCTGAAAGCCTCTCTGGTAAGAATAGAAACACAGCTACAGTATGCTTAACCTAACTATACTCATCCTAGCACCTAATTAGAAGGGTGCTACAATGGTACTTTGCCCTTGTGAGAATTTGTGCTACTCAACTGCTAATGCCTAGCGTTAGTTATTTGAAGCTCTATCCTATGGGTAGGACTACATTAATAAGGAAGAAAACAGGTAATATGCTCAAGGCCAAGCAAGATGTGACACATTGATGGATTCTAAGTAGTTGCTCATGCAGAGGAAAACAACAAGTTCACATTAATGGTGGCCCTCGCAGCTGCTTACATTTACATCAGGTGCATGTGACATCATGTTACCCACTCCTCTTCCCCCATGTGACTGTATTGGTGCTTGGTAAGTAAGTGCTTAGGTACCCAATACTGCCATATGGGGGGAGGGGCAAAAAGTCTTCTGCTATATATAATCTGTAAGTGATTGTAAAACCATAAGCAGCACTTTTGTGATGATTTTAACATTTTTCATATATTCCAAATCAGAATTGTGTACCTGCTACTCTTTTATGTAATTATTTCAAATAATCTAAGTGCAGATTTGAAAAATATTTTAAGTTTATTAATCTTCAAGTCATGACATTAACATATACGTCATAAGTGTACATTAAAAGTCTAGTCTAATATTTCTAAGCTTAAATTACATCTCAGCACACATAATAATAATGTAAAATAATTGTAAAACTTCCTAACAGAACCTTGTGTAAAGTAAATCTTCAAATTCTAGTGTCAGCAGTTTCTGTTTGTGTTCAAATGTGAGGCATGCTGAATGGAACCTCAATGGCTAATGCGTGACCTCTCTCTGTAGTGTGAGAAATTTATACTTCCTGTGAAGGAACCACATATCTCACAATCCCTGGGTTTCTCAGTCTAGCATTGGTCCAGGTGAGAGCTTCACAGTAATTAGATCTAACACAGAGACAAACAGTCAAAGCATTCATAGACACACAAAGAGTTCACTGGTGCACCTGAAGGGATTTTTTTATTACAATGGCACTCCTACATTTGTGAAGCGACTAAAAGCAGATAGTAATGCTTTCAGTGGATGCCATGTGACCCAGAAGAGGATGTTATCTTGTCCCTTTGGCAAATAGAGACAAGTTAGGTGAATGAATACATGGACATAGGGGAACTGATCAGCCATGACACTAAAGAATGCAACTACAACATGTGAGCCCATCATGACAACATAAAGCAAATAAACGACAGAGGGAATAAAGCCACACTAATACCTATTTAAAACAACAAATGTACAATGCCTTACTTTTATTAGTTGTTTAAGTTCTTCTTAAATATGTAGCTTTCATTTAAAAAATCTTGATTCTGTCATTAAGGTTTTTGTTTACACACATCCTGTTATAGGTTGACAACTATCTCCTAATGGGTGTCACCCTGCCAGATGCACCTCTGCTGGGGGACTACAAGTGGGTGTGCTTACAAACATTATGCAGGCATAGGCTTGCATTGCCACTATCAGGAAATAAGTCCTGGAAGAAGATGTGCAGTTGTCGTTTAACCTCTTGCAGACTTCACTATAGTCCAATGACAGCTACACCTCAGTCAGCTGGTTTTAGGAGGGCGTCTAATGACGTTCTCCCAGAACCCATTCTGGGTGTCCTTTGTCCTTTGGACACAGCTGATCACAGAGAGGTAAAGGCCCAATCACAGTGGCCCTTTACAACGTGATCAGCTGTGTCCAATCACAGCTGATCACAGTGTAAATAGACTATGCCGGTTACACGCTGTAACAGCGTAAGGAGAAAAGAGTCGGTAATTGGTGAGCCACACAGGGACATCTACACTGATAATCAGGACACTGATCATCAGTGCCCTGATTATCAGTGCAGCCACATAAGTGACAATCAGTGCCCATCAGTGCTGCTCTTAAGAGTCCACCAGTGCTTCCTATCAGTGCCCATTAGTGCCACCTATCACTGCCTCCTCATTAGTTCCGCCTATTATGTCAGTCCCACCTATTAGTGCCCATCAGTGCCGAATATCAGTGCAGCTTCATCAGTGCAGCCTCATCAGCGCACATCAGTGAATGATAAAAATTACTTATTTGCAATATTTTATAACAGAAACAAAAAAAGGAAAACTTTTTTTTTTTAGTCACAAAATAAAAACCCAGTGGTAATCAATTACCACCAAAAGAAAGCTCTATCTGTCTCAATAAAAATTGTAAAAAATGTCATATGGCTACAGTGTGTTGCATGACCGCACAATTGTCATTCAAAATGTGACAACACTGAAAGCTGAAAATTGGTCTGGGCAGGAAGGAGGTTAAAAGTGCCCGGTATTGAAGTGGTTAAGCAGGTATTTGTAGGTAGAAATTGCCTGGACTAGATGGAAGGGACCAGTAATGCTGAGATAAAAAAAGTATGAAAAGTATGAACAAAGGTAAAAACAGTATTTAGTATTTTTTGAAATAAACTAAAATGGCAAGAGTTTTCTGATTCATGATGCGTTAGGTACATCCATGATTGAAATAAGCAGAATAGTCTTTAGAGAAATTCAAGTTTTTTAAACAGCTTTTGACAAATGGGGAAATGTTAAAAAACTGCAGTATATCTGATTTTCTGTGTCCCCATCGCAGAGATTTCTGTTTTACTTCCTGTCCCTGGTGGCAGACCTCTAATGCAGGCAGCTGTTCTTCACTTTTCTTCATTTATTCATAGAAACCCCACAGCATAGTCAGATTTCTCTTAATGCTCCTAGAGTAAAAATGGCCTTCCCATCAATACAATGTATACTCTACAGAGACCATTTCTGTAATGACTATGAATATTGAATATAAATGACTATAGTTCTGTCTATATTAAGAATGTGATTTGCAATTTTGTATTGACCATATTATGAAAATTAATCAACTTACATATTATATTACGAGAGTATTCAGCCAGGTCTGGATCGCCTGCTACGTACGACATTCCAACAAAACCTATTAACAATTTCAAACAATTTAATTATGTCAGTGTGATAATAAAAAGGAACATTATATATACTGTAGTACATACATAACCTTTTGGTCTGTACTACAAACAGGATAGGACAAATACATTTCACTTACACCTCCTAAGTACCCACAGCCCCAGAAAGTGAAGGCAGGATATGGATCCCACACACCTAGGCCACTACATTTAACTAGTTCAAGGCTTTGGACATACTAAACATGCCCAAAAAAACATCATCATAGTACACAGGATGTACGTGGCACATTCAGTTTGTCTGCCATGCCGCTAGGACTCTACCTCCTGCTACAAAGCAATATACAGCTGTTATTATTCAAAGCCAGAGTTGCTGTGTACCCAGAACAGGTCTTGCAGCTGCCGCTGTCAAAGAAGCTAATTTTGTATTTATTCTGTTCATTCATCTGCAGATCAAAGGAATTAACTTCAATCTGCAGATGATGTCAGTTATTAAAACCATAAAAAAAATGTTTTTCTTTTTAATAAAATGTTCCTCTGTTTAATCCCTTATTAGCCCCTAGTTTACACTAATCATCCCTAATTAATTCCTTATTCTCCTTCTTTATTCAATTATGCTTTTCCTACTGATTTTTTTTGTTTGTTTCTATTTACTAACCATTAATATTCACACTTTTGTTTGTTTTTATTTGTTTTGTTTGTTAATATTTTTACAGATTTAACATATCTTCACACATTTCACATTGAAAAATCACAAGATTGAAAAAACAAAACAAAAAAAAAGGAACACAAAAATTCATTTGTAAAAAAACTTTGCAATGCTTTGTACCAGAATCATAATTTTTAGTATCCTTTTAAACAGGGCAAATTACAAAATGAACGTGCACTTTTTTATCGGCACTAACACTTTTTTCTGTTAAGTGAAATTGATCAAAGAAAGAAAAAGCACATTTTGAATATTTTTGTCAACCATACTAGGCCACATGTCCTCAAGAATTTTGTTAGTGAACCCCTGGCAGGGTAAGTTTAGGGTGGTGCGGGGGTGGCTTATTGGAATTTGGAAGCCCCCTTAATAAGGGGGTCGCCAGATCCCGCCCCCATGTGAATGAGCCCTACTCATTCACCAAAAAAAATCAAAAGTTAATAAAAGCACAGCTTTTGACTTGTCCATTACTAAAAAAAAAAAATATATTAAAACATGTCCACTGAGCAACAATTCGAGCAACAATTATGATGGATGCCATCCCGCATTATATAACAAAAAACAAAACAAACTCTCCTGCCCACCAAACAAAACTGGTCCTGTCGAGAGACACTTGACCAAGGTGACCAGGTGACCCCCCTCATGTTTTTCAGCGAGTGTCTCTCAATAGGACTGCTTGTATTCGGTGGTGGTGGTGGTGGGGGGTTTGTTTTGTCATCCAGGTCGGCGTTCATTGTGATTGATGCTGGATTTACACCAGGGAAAATTCTTTTATTTCTAATTTTTTAAAATAAAAGACTTCAGGACACAGCACCCCCAATGTTGAGGGTCTGGTATGGATTTTGAAGGGGGGGGACCCACGCCATTTAAAAAAAACATTTTTTTGTGTGAGGTTCCCCTCAAAATCCATACCAGACCCGAAGCAGATGGGTCATGGTTGTTATGGATGCAGTGGCCGCCCCTACTTACAAACAGCTATTCACATAAATCTGAATGAAACAAATGCATTCGCTAATTTCTTTATAACTTTTTTTTCAGATTTGTTAACATTTGTTACTATGTCTATTCAGAAATTTATATACATCCGAATCTCTGAAAATCAAATTTTATCTGAACAACGAACTGGAACAAAACGAAACACGCAAGTATAGTGCTTCATTGCTACCCACTGTCACTAGAGGTTAATGGGTCATGTTAGATCTGTTTGAAAAAACAGCAAGCTTACTACCGCTACCTAGAGATTATCTTATAGGAAAGTGTCATGATAGATTTATCTTGTGAGCAGTAAAGCACAACCATTGAGAACGTTACAAGACAGGAGAGAGAGCCTGTGTATTTAATGAGATTATATAGCTAACCCTATGTTCACATATAATTACAAATAATACATACAAATAGTTAATGTTAACAGACATCGAAAAATTATTCAGTTCAAATGGATCTCTCTTCCATATATATCCACTTCTGGACCAGTGACATATCCGTACAGTGTGAAACATTTGGTGGTTTTGTACCGGACTGATACCTACAGCTGCAGGGGTCACCCAGGTGGTCGGCTAGTTATCCCCTCTCTGATTGCTTGTGCAAACAGTGAGAGGGGGACGTCCCCTCTCCTGTGGCTCTCTTGAAATCTCCCGTCCCGCCAGGAGTCCTGAGCGACCAGCCGACGTGTGCACAGCTGACCGAAAACAGCCGAAAAAAAGCTGGAATTGGCTCTCTCCTTTATTGTAAACTGGAAGCAATGACCTGACATCACTTCCAGTTTACTCGGGAACTTTCGGCGCCATTTTTTAAAGATCTGAAAGCATTCAAAAACACTGATCTTGGTGTGATTTTTGAATGCTTCCAAGTGCATAAAAGGGAGTTGGGGGTCTTATAGATCCCAGATCCCTCCATAAAAAAACACTTGTTTATGTATCTAATGCTGTCACAGGAGATGTTTACATTCTTTGTGACAGCAATAAAAGTGATCAAGAAAAAAAAAATGACAGTGTAAAAAAAAAAATTTAAAGTGCCCCTGTCTCTGTGCTCGCACACAAGGGTGAATGCATGCATGCATCGGTCCTGCAAACAGCGATCGTCCCACACATGTGAGGTATCACTGCGATCCAGGGGCGGACTGACAACTCATGGGGCCCCCGGGCAATTAGGGATCATGGGGCCTCTGTGTCCTTGCCCAAACTCAAAAAAAAAAAGCCTATGAAAAAGGGTACCAGGGGCATCTCATGGGGCCCCCTACTGGCCCCGGGCCCTCGGGCAGTGCCCGAGTTTCCAAATGGTCAGTCCGCCCCTGCTGCGATCGTCCGATCATAGGCAGTAATTCTAGCACTAGACCTCTGTAAATCTAAAGTAGTAGTCTGTAAAGGTTTTTTTTAAAGCGTCGTCTATGAATAGTAACATTTACGTAGTTTGTCGCCGGTGCACAGGCTTGCTCAATTTTAAAGTGTGACATGTTTGGTATCTATTTACTCATCGTAACATCATCTTTTATATGTTACGAAAAATTGGGTTATTTATTGTGTTTTTTTTGCAATAACATTTTTTTTTTAAAGTGTATTTTTTCCAAAAATTGTGTTTGAAAAACCCGCTGCAGAAATACAAATAATAAATACCAAAAAAAAGGCAAAAAAAAAAAAAACAGCAATTTGTTCTCTAGGGCCTCTGCTTTAAAAAATATATATAAGGTTTGGGGGTTCTAAGACATTTTCTAGCAAAAAAATATTTGATTTTAAAATGTAAATAGCTTAAAGTGTTACTAAACCCACAAACAGTAAAATCAGTCTGTATATGCAGTAAAGAGTGCTTGTTATACACTTTGTGGAACCTAAGGGGTTAATCCTCTGCATTGTGTAAAAACGCTGTTTGATCCTGACTTCTTTGATCTTCTCCTTCTTCCAGTGCCCCCCTCTTATCTCTTGATAAGACATACCATGTGGAGACACTCTGCACATGCTCAGTTTGGTGTGTATTGCTAGAGAGGTTTTTATTTTTTTTTTTTCAGGAGAGTGCATGTGATCAGCACATGGCCAATCAGGCCAATCAGGACTTGCCAGACAGAGATCAGGGGTTCTGCATCCTCCTAGAGTAGAAAGAAAACTCCTCCTACAGGCTTTAAAATGTGCTCTGCTGGACACTGATAGAAGCCACAAGACTGCTCTAACTGCTGATGAGAAAAGGTATTTAGCAGTTTATATTTACTAAAGTAATTGCATTTCCATGTTCTGTGTACTGTGGGAGACCAGATATAGTGAATGCAGGGTGCTGGGTTTAGTAACACTTTAAGGCTGAAGTGGATATATATAGCATTTA